CAGAGCTTAAAGGGCTATGCCTATACTCATAGAATCTGGGGTTACAGTACGTAACCAACGTTCTATTTCGTATAGGGTTTGCCCTTTAAGGCCATTCGCCAGAGGGTTAAAAGGCGAAGCAGGATGTAGTCTATGCCTCACTGGGTCCGTTCAGACACCATATGAAGCGCCCGCTTGCACCAAAAAACATTTCATTATGCGCACAATGCACAGACGCGGGCTGCATAATTTACGCGTTCCGTGTACATGGGCGCCCCGGAGACAAAAGTTTTTGATGGGGATAAGAGGAGAGGCTGAAAACATTGAACGGAGCACATCAACAGCCCTTCCATATGAACAGGTTAATAATAAATGAACTGATTAGTAATCAAATAAACTCATTGGTAACAATAGTCATGAACTGATTAGTAACATTAGAACAAGACCAACAGTCACAAACTTGTGACTGATAATAAATATTTCACACTGTGATTGCATGCAATCAGATGTGAGTTTAAACAAAATTCCATGAAAACAATAAAATTCATTCTGTTAAGGCGCTGAGAACAGAATGCGCCATGGAACGAGCCAACACATCACGCAGATAGAAGCGAATAAATGAGCAGGGCGATGACCACGTGGCCGCCATACAAATATCCTACATTGTCATACCATTATGCAAGGCTGTCAAAGATGCAATTCCTCTGGTCAAGTGCGCCCTGAGGTTGTCAGGAGACTCTAAACCTGATGCTCTGTAAGCTTCAGAAATGGCCTCACACAGCCAGTGTGACAGGCGCTGGGTAGATAACGGGCGACCTGCAGAGGCGTCTCTATAATGCACAAACAAATGTTGAGTCTGACGCAGTGTGGCCATGTGTGCTACGTAACATGCCAACGCACGCACAGGGCAGAGGAGATGAAAATATGCTTCTTCTTCTGATTTGTGGGGAGGGGGGAAAATCCTCCAACGTTATCATTCTCGATTTAAATGAGCTTGTGATGTTTTTAGGCATGAATGCTGGGTTAGGTCTCAGATCAGCTGAGCTGCCATCAGCTTGAATCCTGAGGCATGATGCAGCAACAGAGAGGGCAGATAAATCACTCGCTCTCTTCGTGGATGTCAAAGCCAACAGTAGGGCTGTTTTAAGTGACAATAATTCAATCAAAACCTGATCTAACGACTCGAAAGGAGCTTTCATCAGGGCTTGCAGAACCATCGTTAAGTCGCACTGTGGAGCTAGTGGACGTGACACAGGTCTGTGCCTCCGTACACCTTTTAAATGGTAAATGGTAAATGGACTGCACTTATACAGCACCTTTCTATCTTATTTCAAGATACTCAAAGCACTTTACACTACAATGTGTGTCCTCATTTACCCATTCATACAGCACTCTACTAGAACTCTGCAAAGATAACTGAACAAATCATTCTAAAGAGACTAATTAGAGCTTTATCACATTCATACACTGATGGGACAAACATCAGAGACAATCAGGGGTTCAGTGTCTTGCCCAGGGACACTTCGGCATGTGACTACTGGTGGATTCGAACCCCCAACTCTTGCACTGGAGGACGACTGCTCTAACCACTCAGCCACAGCCTCCGTTTTTAGAAAACGCTTTGTCAGCGGATGATTGAAAACTGTTCTGTCACCGAAGCCTTCGTGACAGGAAGCGATGGCTGCAGCATACGTTTTAATTGTGCTGAATGCCAGATTTCTGTCCATCAGCTGCTACAGAAAGGACAGCACGCCACCTAGTGGACATGAGATGGCCTCTACACCTTTCTCAGTACACCAGCGTTGAAAAGCTGTCCACTTTGATGTGTACAGCGCTGTGGTGGAGGCAACACGTGAATCCTGGATTGTGCCAACAACTTCTTGAGAGAGACCCATCTTCTCTAAGCGGATCCGCTCAGCGGCCAGACCCAAAGGTGCTGGCCTATTTCTGGGTGACTCCTGATCGCTCCTCCCACCTGGAAGAGAGCATTGTCCCTCCACGGCAGTTTCCACAGACAACCTGATAACAGACGTTGCAGGATTGGAAACCACGGGGCGCTCACGCGCTCGGCGGCTATCAGAATGGCTGACAGTTCTTCCTCCCGAACTCTGTTCAGAAACCGTGATATTGGAAGGACTGGGGGAAATGCGTAAAGGAGCATTTTGGGCCACGGACTGTGGGCAAACGCGTCCACTCCTAATGGTGAATCGTCCCATGGGCTGAGTGAGAACCATAGTTGACACTGGGCATTCTCCCGTGTGGCAAATAGGTCCACTTCTGCCTGGCCAAATTTCTCCCAAAATCTGAGAAATCAGCTCGTGATGGAGACTCCAGTCCCCGTGGCGCGGACCGCCCCTGGACATTATGTCCGCTCCTCTGTTCAGGATGCCGGGGATGTACACTGCTCTGATGGAGAGCAGGCGTTTGTGTGCCCAACACAGCAGCTGCGTCACAATGTGTAACATTTGGGCTGAGCGCACGCCCCCCTGCCAGTTTATGTAAGCCGCAGTCACTTTGTTGTCTGTGTGAATCAGAACATGCTGATTCTGTAACACAGGAGCAAAATGTTGGATCACATTCAAAACAGTGAGACATTCCAAAACATTTATATGAGCTGATGTGTGAGGTGGCCACAGCGCCCCCACCGCCTGAGACAGGCACGTTCCTCCCCAACCTGACAGGGACGCGTCTATGAAAACTGAGACATGTGACGTAGGTCTGTTGATAGGAACTCCCTCTGACAGAGTGAGAGGATTTCCCCAATGTTTTAGGTTGGTTCTCACAGAGGGGGGCACAGAAATCATCCACCTTTTCTGCCTTACCGGATCTATGCGCAGACGAGCGAACCACCTCTGGAGGCATCTCATGTGGAGTAAGCCCAACGGAACCACCACATGAGCTGACGACATCGTTCCTAACAGTTTCATGATGGAGACAGCTGTCACCACTCTGCTGGGCTTTACGTGGCGGAGCTGGTCTTTTAGAGTTTCGCCTCTTGGCTGTGATAAACGGGCCCTCATAGTGACTGAGTTTAGCTCCACTCCCAGATAAACAATCATCTGGGCCGGGAGAACTGAGCTCTTCTCCCAGTTTATGGTGAAGCCCAGGTTTAACAGGTGTGACGTCAGCGCTTTGGTTTGCGCCGCTGCTTCCTGCATGGATCGGGTCAGCAACAGCTGATCGTCCAGGTAAAACAGAATTCTCATCCCTGCTCTGTGTAGCGGCTGCAGAGCCATCTCCACGCATTTTGAAAACGTACATGGTGCGAGGGAGTAACCAAACGGGAGCCTGTTGTACTGGTACTGGGTCCCTTGGAAGGAGAAGCGCAGGAACTTTCTGTGCTTTAGAATGATTGGAATGTGAAAATAGGCGTCTTTGAGATCGATGGAGGTAAACCAGTCGTTTTGGTGAATGCTGTTTAACAGCTGTCTGGTTGTCAACATGTGAAACTGTCTCTCCATGATCGACTTGTTGAAAACGGATAAATCCAGGATGGGTCTCATTCCTCCGGTCCGTTTCGGAACCAGGAAGTAGCATGAATAAAACCCTGTGTTTTCCTCTCCGTTGGGAACCCTGGAAATTACATTTTTTACCAGTAGTTCCTGAACTTCTGCATGAAGGGACGAGATCTGTTCTGAAGATGACAGAACAGTCTCTATAATCCCGCTGAACGGTGGGGATTGAGCTGCGAACTGCAGCGTGTAAACCCTGCTGATAAGACGGTCCATCCATCTGTTCAGGGAGCACGCTTGCTGCCACTCTGCGTAACGCTCTGGGAGCGGGCACGCGTTTCTGCGCCTTTGTGCCGCACTCAGGCTGCGGGCTCGCATCAAGGTTGATGTGAGCTAACGTGCGCTGAGGGGAGGCGTGCACGCCTTCAGCAATGCGGCGTCGTTTGGGTGGAGGCTGCAGCTGCTGTGAGGAAACGCGTTTGTTCCCGCTGCGGTCAGACGAAGCAAAACACAACCTGGGCTGACAGCGAGGTTTTCTTCTGGGCTCAGTACCAGCTCCAAGGGAATGGCACCGACGGCTGGGAGCAGTGTGGTCGCTGATGCGGAAAGGCCCGGGGAGGTTGAGCATCTGCTCGGCCCCCCTCGTTCCAACAGTACGCTCTCTGGAAGGGAATGAGCAGCGGGGCTGCTGCTGACGTCGCCTGTCCCGGAAGAACCATCCAATTCGCTCCGAGACTCGGCGTCAAAAAAGGCGATGGCGTCATCCAGCGAACAGTCCCCCGCCACAGAGAGGCACTCCTCAATGTCAGCCTTGAACAAGGCTGCTCGCCTCTGCCTCTCCTCAGGAGGGAGGAGGTCACAGAGATGGCAAGAGGAGGCGAGGTCGGCGTGGCGGGGACCCAGGCATCCTTCGCAGGTGTCGTGCCGGTCAAAACTCAGCATGTAGCCGGTCTTGCAGGACGGGCACAGGCGGATGACGAATGGTGTTGGTGCTGGACATCGCGTTCTTGGAAGATCAGTGCTGTTTGCTTGCTGAAGAAAAATGGGAGCCGATTACCCGCTCTCAACGTAATTTATATGGACCTGGTGGGGCCCACACGACAGGTGGGTGTGGACTAAAGTTTTCAGTGCTACGCTTTGCGTGACGGGATAAAACCCACTAGCGAATGACCTTAAGGGGCGAAGCCTATACGAAATAGAACTTTGACTTATACATGATTCAGCTTTATGCCTTTTGTGAAATCAAATCTACAAACCAAGCTCTACTTGTCAGGAATGTTTATTTACATTATTGTTTACAGTTTATAATCTGTTAAACAGTACAAATGGAACAGCCAGCAGCACACAGAGAGTAACTATAGTAAGAGCTCCACTACAAAATACAAGCAGTCTTTCATAGTTTGTTGCTACTCCACATTCTTGACAGACAGAACCAGATAGAACATTAAAGATCACCATTTCAAAGAAACCCATCCTTATAATAATAAAAATATTTGTATAAAAATAAAGTTTGAAGATACTATATGTGTTCTAATACTTTCTAGATAATTATTTTGTGTTTTCTAGGTTTTATGCATAGTCCTCTGCCAGTATGTCAAAGTAGTTTGTATCTGCATAGAGCAGGAAACCAGAGCAGAGTCTGTCCGCCCAGCTGGGGTCTGCAAATAAACCATTCTGTTCATGGTAGAAGATCTCCATCCATACTTCATCCTCTGGGTTCAGGTACATAACAGTGGACCCAGATGCCACATCATGGTTTCCCGTGTTGGCATCAAAGGTTTTTATGCGATACTGACCATTTTGCACTAAACTAATAGCCAAATGTTTGTTGGCCAGCGTGATGTCATAGGAAAAATAATATAATAAACTCCTGGATATGCACAGATTAATTTTCCTGTCTGTGGATTGTAGTGCCCACCTTCATTGAAGAGAACCTCATTGAACTTGATGGGGGTCTTCTCTGTGGGGTAGCTGCTGGTGATTCCCACAGAGAAAGCAGATTTAGGCAGCATGCTGCCACATTTGCAGATTCCTGCAGCTCCACGAGGTCCTCTTTCGCCCTTATCCCCTTTGCCTCCATCATGGCCTGGAGAACCAGGCAGTCCAACATTTCCGGTATCTCCTGTGGGGCCTCTTTTACCTGCGGGGCCACGTTCCCCACAATCTCCAATCTTACCTGTTGTTCCTACTCTGCCCTTTACACCTGAAACAAAAATATTATTGTTATAGTTCTGTCTATATTTGCTCTCAACTAAAAGGTGAAAGGTGTATAATATTGTATGTTTGCCTGCTTCTGTGTGTTTGTGTAGGTGAGAAAGTATGTGTTTGTATGTGTTACCATAATATCTCTTAAATAACTGAATACATTTTAATAAAACCTTCAGAAAGTAATAATTCAATGTACATTACAACTGATTAACATTTGGACTCATCTCAATTCAAGATGATTGCCACAAAGGGCAGCTGTGGCTGAGTGGTTAAAGCAGTCGTCCTCCAATGTGAGAGTTGGGGGTTCGATTCCACCAGCAGTCACATGCCGAAGTGTCCCCGGGCAAGACACTGAACCCCTCATTGCCTCCGATGTGTGTCACATCGGTGTATGAATGTGATAAAGCACTGATTAATCTCTACAGATTCAGATTAGCTTTGTAGAAATCTAGTAGAGTGCTGTATGAACGGGGAAATGGTAAATGGATGGATTGTACTTATGTAGCGCCTTTCTATCTGATCAAATGTGAGCACAGATTGTGTTGTAAACCAAAAAAAGTCCATGCTCAGTAATTCAGGTATACAATCCAACTATTTTTAGTCAGGTCATCTGGACAGTTTCTTTTTTTGCTGAAACGTTTCACCTTCAATCCGGAAGGCTTCATCAGTCAAGGAAATACACGCCGGCACAAGAGGAGGGGACGTGCCAAAGACACCATCTTAGCACCAACATAACTGTTTGTTCCACTTTGGAATAAGCTGTTTGGGGGAAGAATCAGTTTTGTGTTGTGTGTTTCCTTGACTGATGAAGCCTTCCGTATAGCAGGTGACATGGTTCAGCAAAAGAAACTGTCCAGATGACCTCACTAAAATTGTTGGATTGTGTTGTAAAGCACTTTGAGTATCTTGATAAGATAGAAAGGTGCTATATAAGTACAGTCCATTTACCATTTACAATTAATAGACTTTAAAATGGCTATGGCTCAGTAAATACATTACAAATATTGAGCTAAAATGTGGCGTTAGCTTATTCAGAAGACAAACTTCGAGAATTAAAGGATCGCACAATCTTCCACAATACAGTATTGTATAATTCAATTCAGTTTATTTATATAGCACCAGATCACAACAAAATTGTCTCAGGACAATTTACAGGAACATTCACACACACAGAAAAGCCAGTTAGTAAAGTTCTCTATCTAAGGAAGCCCGCAGACATGTTGAATCTTGGCTTTGTTGCAGTCTCCCATCCTGAGCAAGCACAATGGCAACAGTGGAAAGAAAAAACTTCCTTTTTAAAGGAAGAAACCTCCAGCAGAACCACGCTCAGGACAAGTGGCCATCTGCTTTGACCGGCTGGGTTTGAGAGGACAGAAAGGAGAGGCAAACAAACACAGGATGGTAGGTTGAGATATAGGTGCAGGTGTACCTGAAAGACAACAAACACGTTAGGATAGAAAAAATAATTACAAATACAAAACAGGTTGAGCATAGTAAGTAAAGACAGTAGCAGACTGAAAAAATGTGGTCAGTTTGTCCTTCAGCAGTCTAAACCTAAAGCAGCATAACTAAGGGACAGCTCAGGAAACCCAATCCGACCCTAACTATAGAATTTAGCAAAAAGGAAAGTCTTAAGCCTCATCTTAAAACTGGACAATGTGTCAGCCTCATGGACTGAAATTGGAAGTTGGTTCCACAAGAGAAGAGCCTGATAACTGAAAGCTCTGACTCCCATTTTGTTTTTGGAAACTCTAGGAACCGCAAGTAAAACTGCAGCCTGAGAACGAAGTGCTCTGTTAGGACAATATAGAACAACAAGATCTGTAATATAAGATGGCGCTAGGTTGTTGAGAGCTTTGTAGGTTAGAACAATGATTCCCAACCTTAGATAGAGAACTACTAATTGGCTTTTATGTATGTGAATGTTTCTGTAAAGTGCTCTGAGACAACTTTGTTGTGATTTGGCGCTATATAAATAAATAAACTAAATTCAACCTGAGAATGAGCAGCGGGGCTGCTGCTACTCATGGGGGGGGGGGGGGGGGTCTGGAGAGCACAGGGGGATTGCATAATGTGTCTGCTCAGAAGTTAAAGGTTGTAAAAATATTCATTTATTGTCTATATAACAACTTTAGAAAATATGCTTTTATTTTAATTATAATGTTTGAATCTAAAAAAGTTAAGTCTGGTCCTCTGGATATTCAAAAAACAAAACAAAAAAAATTAAAGCTGCAAGCAGCATTGAAGGCCCTCGCAGCACAGCATCGCTGTGGCCAAACTGTGACTGCGGGAGCTCCAGCTACTCCACCCAGTCGCCATTGTGAACGCTCTCGTGCCAGTCCCGCACGCGTTCACCACAGGGCGCATTTCCCAAATCTTGGAAATCGCCTTCCGTCCATGTCAGTACTTGTCCAGCTTTAGGTCTTACAAGTATAGGTGAAATCCAACCTTCCAGACAGGAGTTATTGTGACTTCCTGTTTTGTGGCGAATGTTTGATGAGCACTTCTTTTATGCTTTTCAACATATCATGTGTGGTAATCAACAGTTAGCGAACACAGTTTCAGTCTTATATCTTACACAGTGCAAAGCTGGAAAAGTCAGCCAGTTTCTTCTCTGAGTGGGTGGGGCTTAAGTGATGCCATGAATCAACAATACAAATGTGTCTATAAGTGCTCACTGATCAAGCACTAAAAATCATGTTCAGATCAGATGATGTATCACTGAGATATAACTGTTGGAATAATCTAGGGGGCGCACTGGAGTCAAAAGTTTAATAACAATACCAATGTGTCTAGAAATGCACCCACAGAAAATCTGTTGCAGATAGGATGATGTTTCACTGATATATAACTGTAAGAATGATCTAGGGGCGCACTCAAGTCATATTTTAAACTACAATATAGGTGTGTCTAAAAGTGTTCACTGATGATGCACAAAGCTGGCGCATATCAGATGATGTGTCACTGAGATATAACTGTTTGAATAATCTCTGGGGCACACTGGAGTCAAAAGTTAAACAACAATATCAATGTGTCTAGAAGTGCTCACTGATGACACACAAAAAATCTGGTTCAGATCGGATGATGTATTGCTGAGATATAACTGTTGGAATGATCTAGGGTGCGCACTGGAGTAAAATGTTAAAGAACATTACCAATGTGTATACAAGTGCTCACTGATGAAGCACCAAAAATCTGGTGCTGATCGGCTGATGTATCACCTAGATGTAACTGTCACGGAAGTAGTACATAGAGTAGGGGAAGTGATCAAGGAAGGCGGAAAAACAGTCGAGGGATGGATAGTTGATCTTTTCCTTCAGATCTTGCTATATTTAGCAAGCTTAGTTGGTGTGATAGCTGTTGCCTTATAGCTGTGCTCTTACAAGAATGTCTCAAGGCCATGTGCCGCCCATGTGGGAGCAAGCACTCCCACCAGAATTGGGTACTGGCTCGGCTTAAAACGGAGACATCAAGGAAACGGTCTCATATCCGCCGCGGAGCAGCAGAGAGCATAACTCAAGAATTCCTCAAAATCAAGACCATCATGGACTGCCAGACAACCAGTAATCCAACAGATGTGAGTACCTTCTACGAAGAATCAGATAGTACCACAGCACCCACTCAGACCTCCTGGCCATGGTGTCCATCCTACTTTAAGGGCAGCACGGTAGAATATTTTTTGATAATGATTGCATGGATGTGCTACTGCCACACGGGCGAATGGGGTAGAGGGCGATTAATGCGATTCCCTGTGGTCTTCCAGGCCTATGCCAGGATAATTTTGTCCCATATAATACTCGAGAGCTGAAATAATGCCACATTATTTGTTACCTACTTATTGGGAAAAGTCAAACCCTCACTTTGACAAAAGGCAGTGATCACAGCTTGGCTACTAGTGGATTCCATCGTGGTGGCCCTTGAGTGTGGCCACACTCACCCCCTTGCCTATACCCATCACAAACTGCGGGAACACAGCTGGAAGAGTTGTGACGGCAGTAATGGAAGGCGCCATAGCCATCACTGTGTTAGCATACCTGCTGCACCAAACCCTATCCACCAAACCCTATCCTTGCGACCCCAAAATAGACACCGTTGGACCATGAAAATAGCTATCCTAATTGGATGGGGTCTGGTTTGGGGAGTTTGTTCCGTGTTATACTGGACCGGTCTCTGCACCACAGTACCCATCATAGTTTGGATGATGACATGCTGCCGTGTTCAAACCCAGACCTGAACCTCTTCCTGTTGCACCGGAGGTGAGTGGAGGACGTGGAATCTCTATGGATTGAAACCTCCGATCCTCTGAAGATACAAAACTTAATCAATATAACCAACACTGCCCCCACCCCTCCGCTAACGCTATTATTAATCATTAATCTAAGGTTTGTTTAACTCCGGGTCACATTGCTCGATGAGGTCCTCGATGTCAGCTGACGGCCTGTATAGGCCCAATAACGGTTGGGGGCCTCTGAAGAGCTATGGAACCCGGGGAAGAGGAAAAAATAAATATTCTTGTTGTAGTATCAGATCTTGTTTTGCCCCCTCTTGTCGTTACAGGAACACGAAGTGACCTGCAGTTTCTGTCACCAAAGGTTGGCAGAAGCCAAGTACATCTGGGCTGTTGGTTCGTCTTGGTGGTGCCAGCGCTGTCGTTCTGGCATGGTGGCCAGGGCTGTGGTGAATGGCATTCTTGTCTCAGATGAGCCACATAGTCTACCACAAGTATCGGCAGCAGTGTGCATGGAACCATAACGTACCTGCAAAATCATCTGGACCTCGGCTCTGAATTCTGTACCCTATCGGCCAAGGGGAGCTATCCCGCCACAAGCCTCATACTACCCAGTGGTGGCTAAGTTGTGGGAACACCTCCACGAAGCAACCAGGTTCGTGGCTATTCATCTGTACACAGGGCTGCCCTTGGTCCATGGCCCATCCTTCGGAATTACGCAGGGATCATCAGAGCCTCTGCCCCTGGCATTACCGGCCTCCTTAGGGGCAGGCCTGGGAGCCACTCCACCACTGGTCCCGACTCTTGCAATGACAGCAACTCAGGGTCAGAGTGCAAACCCACTTTAATTCAGATCAGGGCGGTAATCTACAGGATTGCAAGCAGATAGATTAATTATATTTGGATTCAATTGTTCAGGGTTGCCAAAGGTTGTTAGAAGTGGTAAGGGATAACATATATTGGATCAGGTTGTGAGTTGGGGGAGTTTGTGAAGGTTTGTAGAGCATTTAATTGCGTCAGAACAACCTTAGGGGCTCCTAGGGCATGGCTGGCCAGAAGGAAAACGGTTGAGGCTGTTTTCTCCCAGCTCTCCTCAGGATCAGAGAACCACCTTGTCACGCAGACTGATCAACCTCTGGAGTCCAACTAAATCTTGGAGCCACTTATTAATCATCATGCATCCTCTGTGTAATCAAATGTAATCATTGTGTTGGATTGTGCTTACCACTGTTTCCCCTGCTAATCATTGATTAAAGCAAAGCAAAACGTAAAATTCTGGATTCTTATTTCAACACCCCTTTGTTCATGGAAGTGGAAAACTTGGTTCAATGTTAACAACAAAAGTATTGGGAGGTTTTAAAAGGTTTCGTAGCTTTTAGTATAAAACAACATCCAGGAATCTTACTCCTAGATTCTAAACAAAACCAGATCGGATAACAATTGTAACGCTAAATTAGAAGATGAGCTACCGTGAACGTGCGCTTCCTCGTCTGTCGAACGTCCCCACTCCTGCTGCTAGGTTGGGCGAGGCACGAGGTGAGATTCTGGGTGTGGTACACAGATAGGAGGTAGTTAACAGTCTGGGTGAATCATCTTAACACAGCCTTAGACTAAACCGTCCTAAAACACAGCTGCGGTGCTGGAACACAGGAGGAGAAATGCTGAGGGGGACTGGTAAACATGAAGGAAAACACAACATGCAGGACCAGACCCCAGAAAACCCTACAAGACAGTTACGAGATGAAGGCATTTGCAGCCTTGTGGGAGATAAAGCTCACCTTCTCCAGTCCAGGTTATTCCTCCTCCAATGGAATGGCTGAGCGAGCTATAAAAACTGTCAAGCATGCCCTGAAAGAAGTGGCACATACTGGCATGGATCCTCATCTAGTACTACTTACTGTCCCTGAGAAATACACCTGTCACGGAACTGAACATCTCCCCTGCATAGATGTTGATGGGAAGAGTCCTTCACAGCACACTGCCATGTTCCACTGCTGTGCTCAAACAATCAACCCCACATAACATCTCCAACAAAATAAGAGACGTACAGTCCCGCTAGAAACAACACTTTGATGAACTTGCAAGATCACTACCAACATTATCTCCAGGTAACACAGTGCACATGCAAACACAGTGTAGCTGGGAGCCAGCGTTGTTATCCGTCAGAGGGAGGAACCATGATCCTACACCGTCCAAACCCCAGCTGGAAGTTTCTCATGAAGAACAGGAGGCATCTGAGGAAAATACATCCATGCTTGTTCAGAGACACATCCACTGATGAACAGTTGGACCTGGAAGAACAATCTCCTACTGAGCAACCTGGAGAACCAAGCGCTCCTCCTTCAGCAAGTTTGAACAATGCACTTACATGTTACACACACAGTGGTCGAGCAGTCAGGCGCCCTGCCAGATACAGAGATGCTTGAGTGGACATTCGGTTACTGGTTTGTAAAGCATCTGTTATTAGTTTCCTTTGAAAAGTAAAAAAAAAAAGAAAAGAAAATTATCTAAAAAAGTTAAATCTGGTCCTCTGGACATTAAAAAAACAACAAAAAAAAAAAACAAAGCAAAGCTTGCACCGTCTCAGAGTGGATCAACCAGATCAACTGGTTGATCCACTCTGAGACGGTGCTATTTAAGAGACTGAGCTGAATACAGCTCCTCAGACTGAGGAAGTCTCTCGGATGAGAGACGAAACGTTTCTACATTTTTTGTTCATTTGCTTTTTTTTTTTTTTTTTTTTGAATGTCCAGAGGACCAGATTTAACTTTTTTAGACTTCCCAGGATAGTTTCTTTGAGGCCAATGGTTTTTAAGTATGCTAAAAACTTTGCTTCCCAGATGTGGTAGCGAGCTTCATTACCATCACACTGTGGTGGAAGTCCCCTCCCGTGCGTCGTTACAGACAAAACTTTACTGGGCCCATAACCTGTAGGCAGTTCTGCAGCGGGTACCCCACTATTCACACAGGAAGTTCTTGGCTCTTCTTCACCATCTGCAGTTTGTGTTGACATCTTTACAGAAACATTTACTTCCTCTTTAAGTAAATAAGATACAGGAGACATTATTCTCTGCTTAACTGGTAACCACACTATCCCGCTCTCACCGTAGCTCACAGAGAGATGAGGGGGTGGTGAGGCTCCGCCTTTATTGCTTCACAATACTGTGTAACCTTTCGCTTCACAAAACAGTGCCAACCAGAATACATTAGTGGCAAACATCATATTCAACACTATTCTCTCATCTAAAGTTTGACTGAAGCTCTTCTTGATCATAGTAAACATATTTAGATTTAATTCAGAACTTACCAAAAGGCAAATAATTAATGTTTTTTTTTTTTGTGTGTGTGTGTGTTTATTTGTCTATGTGTTAGCAAAACATCTCTCAAATCACAAAATAGATTTTAGTGAAACTTTCAAAAATTAATCACTTTGGAGTCAACGTAAAGGTGGTTGCCACAGAAAATTAACTTTAGGCAACCTAAAAATGGCTACAAATTTTACAGATATCGTGCTTTGCTGTGGTAGTAGCTGGGATTCATTCACAATACATATTGATCGTGGCATTTTGCTATATCGCATGACATTGCACATCTTCAAAGTTTGAACAAAATTGTAGAAAATACACATAAAGCTGTAGTCTAACTCTCTTGCATGAAGTCTGATGTGCATTCTTTCAAGCAATGCTAGGCCTTCAGTTATTCTTTGTCAGTGAGGAGATGGAGTGAGGTAAATTCTGCAGATAAATCTGCTCCACAGAAAGAATCTTTAAGCCTTATGTGCAACAGTTCATGTTACTAATGTCAATTTATTTGTGATCCCAGCTGGGGACTATTATTTTATATTCCCTTAGTGGAAAAACTTTGAGCATAAAGACATTAAAAAGATTTAAGAACTTTTAGTGGATTTGTAAACCTCTGACTTCATGCATCAGACATGTAGACTTCTCCTCTGCCCCATGAATGAAAGATGTCATGTGAGAGCAGACAGTTGTGCTGAGACTTACCCCCACACTTGGCAGCTGCTCCTCTCTAATGCTGATTAAAGTTGTGGAGCTTCTCCGTCTTCCTATCTACTCGGGTTGGAGTGATTTGCAGGATGTGAGTCCACACGGAACATGTTCCTTGCTCACAGATGTGTGCAGAGCTGCAGCTACTCTGCTGCTGATTGCGGCTCATACTGCAAAAAGCAGCTTGAACTCCCACCCTCCATCCAGATACCACACCCTCCCCCTGACCCTCTCCCTTCTGTTTCATAAACTTCTCAAGGCAAACACCTATCATCGTGTGTGTGTGTGTGTGTGTGTGTGTGTGTGTGTGTGTGTGTAGAATCAGCTCCATTATTTCATGAATGAAGACAAAGCATTCATTCTGTACTGACAGTGTAAAGGTCAGCATGTTGGATCTTGTTGAATAAAGTAAGATTCATAAAACACTGACTTCATTTGAGATTTAGTGTGAATCTTGGTTGCATTTTGACATTAGTCCCTAGGTGGCAATCAAAGGCATTTCTGAAAATTTGACAAAGAGCTTCAAATTTTATTACTGTATTTTACTGCCCACTGACTAAAAAGGCAGCCTGTTTCACTGCTGTGTTATAATTACCTCATGAACTACAGGACAAATTATAATGAAACTTATAAAGAGTAATTAGATGTACAGCTAGAACTGATTAACCTTCTTCTTTCAGCTTTTCCCTCTTCATGGGTTGCCATGGTGAGTCATCCTCCTCCATCTCACTCTGTCCTCACTCCAACTACCTCCATGTCCTCTCTAACTGTATCCAGATATCTCCTCTTTGTCTTTTTCCTGGCAGCTGCATTTCTAACATCTTTCTATGTGTATCAGAGATGGACAAGAAGCTGAGTACAGGGAACTGGTAGACCGCTTTGTGGCATGGTGTGGAAACAATCATCTCATTTTGAATGTGACCAAAACAAAAGGGATAATTGTAGAGTTCAGGAGAAACAGGAACAGGTCCAACCCTATTTCCATCATGGGAGAAGAAGTGGAGGCGGTGGAGAAGTATAAATACCTCGGGGTTCACCTGAACAACAGACTGGACTGGAAATGCAACAGTGAAGCGTCTACAAGAAGGGACAGAGTAGACTGTACTTCTTGAGGAAGCTGAAGTCCTTCAGTGTTTGCAGCAAGATACTGCATATTTTCTATAAGTCTGTTGTAGAGAGGGCTATCTCTTCTGCCATCATCTGCTGGGGTCGCAGCACCAGAGCAAGTTACTTAAAAGATCAACAAGCTCATAAAGAAGGCTGGCTCAGTTCTGGGGACTCCTCTAGAACCTTTGGAGATGACTGTACAAAGAAGGATTCTTCATAAAATGAAGAACATCATAGACAACCCTCAGCAGCCTCTTCATCAGACTGTAATACAACAACAGTGTCTTCAGTCAGAGGCTTCTTCAGATCTGCTGTAAGACAGACTGCTACAGGAGATCCTTCCTGTCCACAGCCATCAGCATATATAACAACTAATGAAACCATGATGATGAGTTACCATTCATCCATCCTACCATTATCTTTTACCCGCTTCTTCCATTTTGGGTCACGGGGGTCGCTGGTGCCCATATCCGGCAATCACTGTGCGAGGGGCGAGGTACACCCTGGACGTATCGCGAGTCCACCACAGGGCCACGTAGAGACAAACGAGACAAACAACCATTCACTCTCTCACTCACACCTAGGGCCAATTTAGAGTTACCATTCAGCCTAACATGCATGTTTTTGGTCTGTGGGAGGAAACCAGAATACCCGGAGAAAACCCACGCATGCACGGAGAGAACATGCAAACTCCACCCAGAAAGGCTCCTGGACTGGGATTTGAACCAGGGACCTGCTCGCTGAGAGGGAGCAGCTCTATCAGTTGCGCCACCGTGCTGCCATGATGAGTTACCACAACATATAATTTCCCTCTGGGATTAATAAAGTATTTTTGAATTAGAATTTTGAATTAGAATTATCCATCCTTGTCACTCCTAAGAGAACCTCAACATCTTAAAAAAACATCAACATGGCCAACACAGCCGACTGATCCTTGAAAAGACAAAAATGGCTCAATCTCAGTCAGGTTGACAGATATTGAGGTAAATTTTGCTGTGGCATTAACTGAGAGCCCTCCTTAACACAGTCTGAGAGTGCACATCTTGTGAAGATTTGACTAAACCACCTGTAACTTTGTCTCTGCCCATTATACGATGATTATCAGGGGATGTTGGTTAAGGTTCATGGATGTTTTCTTAACTACTATGGCTGAGAATGTTAACTGCTCATGAACCATGTGTTTGAGTTAGCAAAGAGTTATTTTCTCTCTTGGAGAGCTGAACGAGGAGCTGATTTGATCCTGCATGTGCAGCTGTGTGGCCAGGGTCATCAGTGTCTGCTGATAAGCTTATAAAAACATATCTCGCACGCTGCCCGTGGCAGATTCGCATGACAGGGCTCCGTGCATGTAAATTTCTGTACATCTGTGTCACCTGTTGTGGAAATCTGCCCTCACAAGTAAAACTGTTTAAAAATCTTCTCATGTCCTCAAGTGTGGCTTTTTTGAGTAAGTTATAAATGAATAGAAGATAATCTTATTCAACAATGATCTAAGTTTGCATTCCTTCAATGTGTGGCAGGACTTTAATTTGCTTCATTTTTTGCCTCTACCTTTATATATATATATATATATATATATATATATAC